CACCAGGTCTCAGAGCTGCAGGATCCTGGCCGGGAGCGCCCAGGTCCCCGTGAGTCCCGCGCATTTCACGAGGCGGGAACAATGGGCGCGAAAGTCAGGGCGGGAAGCAAGGCCGGGAGGCCCTCCTTCCCGGAGGCTCCCCCCGTCCCAGCTCTCCTGAATCCTGGCCCTAAACCTGACACCATTTAATTGAAGAAGGAAAAAAAGGAGGAGGGAGGAGGGACCCGCTGTCCCTGGGCTTCTGCTCCATGCCCCTGAAAGCTCTGGGAAACAGAGAGGCTGTGCCACCCAGCGTCACACAGCAGTTACCTGGCAGAGGTGAACTGAGCCCGGCCCGGCTGTACCCGTCCCCATGGGGGATCTGTCCCCGAGGTCCCTCCAGCCTCCTCCGCTTCGGGAGGACACAGCCTCCTCTTCCGCAGCAGAGGTCCCCCGCCGCCCGTGGACCCCACCCCCCGCGGGCCGTGAACTGAGCTCCCTCGGGGCTCAGGGGTCAAGGGGCTTCGCGCAGGGCAGCTGCTTCCTCCCTTCGAGGACCGTGAGGCCCACGGTGCCTGAGTGACCTGGGGACAGCTGAGGGTGGGAGGAGCCAAGGGCTTTCCAGTGGCCCGCTCCCCCCCCTCCCTGCTCCTGGCTTGTCCTGAGCCCGCAGGTGCCACTGTCACCCACACGCTGCAGCTCCCCATGGGGGATCTGTCCCCGAGGTCCCTCCAGCCTCCTCCGCTTCGGGCGGACACAGCCTCCTCTTCCGCAGCAGAGGTCCCCCGCCGCCCGTGGACCCCACCCCCCCGCGACCCTGAGGCCCACGGTGCCTGAGTGACCTGGGGACAGCTGAGGGTGGGAGGAGCCAAGGGCTTTCCAGTGGCCCGCTCCCCCCCTCCCTGCTGCCTGGCTGGTCCTGAGCCGCAGGTGCCACTCGTCACCCACACGCTGCAGCTCTGCTGGGGACAGAGCCCCGGGGCGTCTCGCTGTCCAGAGGGAACCCGCGGCTGGTCCGGGGTCAGGGTTCCTGCCTCCGGGGGCCTGGGCCACTCCTGGTCTCGCTCCCCTGAACCTGACCCTCGCGCAGCCTCCTGCCTGGGGCCGGAGAGTGTGGGCTTAGCAGGGGTCAGGGAGGACGTCCAGTGCCGCTGGAATCCCACCGGCGGCCAGCGGTTCCCCGTGGGCCGTGGGGGCCCTGCGCTGCTTCGGGGACACTCTCTACTGAAACATTGTCGCTGGGATCCTGGTGACCTGGGCGTCCCGAGCTCTGCCTGGCGCCCTGGCTAGGGACCCCGGAGCGGGCCTCCTGGGCTTGCCCTTGAAGCCAAGTTCCTCCCGGCTGGGGGGGTCATGGACAGTCACCTGAGTCCCCGGGGCTCAGAGGTCCACAGTGAGGACCACCGCTGAGGCTGGCCGGGCCGAGCAGGCGGGAAGCTTAGGGGCGCAGGCCGGGCCTCCCTAGCGCCCCCTCTTCCTGGGGGAAGACCGAGCTCCACGTGACGCCTCCCGAGGTGCACAGGTTGGCGACTGATCCACGCGTGTGCGCATGTGGGAGTGCTCCGGGGCCTGGTTTATTAACATCGTTAGGAACCGTCCAAATGCACCTGCGCAGCTGGGACTCCCGGTTTGTGGGCTGTCCGTCTAGAGCCCCAGGAAGGACAGTGCCCAGCTGTGGCCTGCTGGCCCGGATTATGCTATGAATCAATGTTTGTTGATAGACCAAGTGACTGTCAGCAGGCACTGGAAATCCCCAGCGCACACCGCCCTCCCCCATCGCCCCGTCTGGCGGCTGCAGTTGTACTCGCCCTCCCCGGGCCTCCAGGCCACTCACCTTCACAGGTTCTTAAACTCCTGGAGCCCAGCCTGTGCCCCCCATGCGGAGCTGTTCTCTTTATCTTTATTTTTCCATTTGTTCCTTTTTTAAAATTTTTGTTTATTATTAGTTGTTCAAAGCATCACAAAGCTCTTGACATTCCATTTGTTCTTTTCAGTTTTTAAAAATCTATTCATGTGTTGTCTACCAGAAATATATACAGCTATCGTTTGTCAATTAAAGGAAAACTCAGGTTGGAGATGGTGGCACCCACCTGTCATCCCAGCCACTCTGGAGGCTGAGGCAGGAGGACTGCAAGTTTGAGGCCAGCCTCAGCAATTTAGTGAGACCCTGTCTCAAATTGAAGTTCAGCAGCCGAACCTCGGGTGGGGCCCGGGTGCCGGGCCAGGATGGGCCCCTGGGGACACTGGTCCCCTGGCCCTGCGTTGGGTGATGGAGGAAGGGGGAAGGCCATGGGCCAGAGCACCCGGGCTCTTCTCCCTGCTGCACGGAAAGAGCTGCCTGGGCCGGGGGCCGGAACCCACCACAAACCCCAAGACTCAACTCGGGCTCCGGCTCGCGGGCCGCTGGGACTGACCCTCTCTGGGCTCCTCGGGGGAGTTTTGGGGCACCACCTCGGGCAGGAGAAGGGTCAGGGTGTTGGGGCCACACGGAGGCGACATGCTTAATGCTGTGGACCCAGCAGTGGCCACTAACGCTCTCGATCCACACCAGCTTCCCCAACTGGTCGCATTGTTGCTGTTTTGTTGTCTGCCACTTGCTGGCTGGGTGACCCTGGGCAAGTTGGGAAACCACTTGGAGCCTCAGTCTCTTCTTCTTTAACACCGAGTGCTGATAGCACAGCCGTGCTAGGTGTGAGTCAACGCGTGGTGCAGAGCAGAAGTAGCCCCACTTCTGTTGGGGGGTCCCTGAGAGCCATTATCTGTCCCAGACAATGCTTCCAGCACCTTCTATGGATTCATTCACTTAATCCTTACAAATATTATGGTCATTTCCCAGGTAAGGACCTCAGGAGCACCGGGGGCAGCCATGCTCTGCCCAGCCCCAAGAGGGCGCCAATCACACAGACCATGACAACCGCTGCCCTGAAGCTGTGACACACAGAGAGGTTAAGTAATGCACCCAAGGACACACAGCTTGGCAGAACTGGGAGTGGACCCCGGCAGCTGGTTTCCAAGCTGGACTCCCCTCTGGGTCAACCCCAGCCCCCCTCCCGGTGGCCCTCGAGATGGAGGATTTCTGGGATGTCGAGACGGGGTTGGCTGGAGCAGATCTGCGTTCCTCTTTATCCTCAGGCCTCCGGCTCTTCTAACTGAGTCAGAGCGAGGCCCGAGCGTCTGGCCTGCTGTGCACACTGCGGTCTCACGCAGGGACACCAGGCCTCGGAGGCTGACGCTCAGAAGGCCAGGAGGGGACACAGCCGGGGGACACAGCCGGGGACACTGGGGAGGGAGTCTGGAAAACATCAATGAAGTCGGCTTTTTTTCTCTTTTTTTTGGTGCTGAAGGTCGCGAGTTCTACTTAAAAGAAAAAAATCAGCTCTGTCTCTCTTGCTGTCACATTTCATGGGCCACCAAGGCTGCTGCCGCCCAGGGCGCCTCCCCAGCCCTGGCGAGTCCCCGACGGCCCGGCCCAGGGCAGCTGCCGGTGACTCAGGCGGGAAGAGGATTCTCTGGAAGTTCCCGGTGAGAAAGGGAATCTGAGCTCTGTGCGCAGGGCCCGGGAGGAGCCCGGGTGACGCTGGCTTGTGTCAGCGCACCCCTGGGGGCAGCGGGCACCTCGGTGTGCCCTCTCCTGCCCGGGCCTGCGGAGGGCGGGGCCTCCACACCCTGCACCGAGGCTGGCAGATGGAGGCTGGTGGATCGAGGCTGGCGGATGGAGGCCGTGCATCTGGGAGGAGGCCGCCCTGGGCTCGGGATAAACAGGGCAGGACCTGAGGAGCCAGCGCCCGGCTCCAGGACTGTCCCTGAGCTCCCTGCTCCAGGTGGTCACCCCAGCCCGGCCACAGGAGGCTCAGGGCAGAGAAGCAGCACAGGGAGGGGCTGGTTCAGTGGCTGCTGTCCCCTGAGCCTGGCCACATCGTCCCCATCTTCTGGTTCTCC